CAGCCCCATCATTCAACAATTTTATGTCCTCTTCTTTGAGGATAATTTTGTTGATTTGTAATTTTCTCACATAATCAAGAATCATAAATATACCTTTGAGAACTTTAATTTCTTTTAAATGAAATAAATATTTAAAGGCAACAAAGATACAACAGGAATGCCAAATCTTTCCAGGTTTTTATAAAAGTTCCTATTCTTTTATAGGTTTTTATCCATACCAGATTTCACAGCAGTTTTTTTTTTCCCATTTAAATTTTAGCTCTATTCTTGTTCTCTTTTCACATTTTATATTGGTACAATATAGTTGTACAAAATGATAGGATTTGTTACATACTTGTACATGCAGACATATAATTCGACCAATATCACTCCCCAGCACTTTCCCCCCTCCCTCTCTACCTCGCACCCCCTGGTCCCTTTCCTCTCCTCTACTGATCTCTGATTTTTATGAGACCCCCCCCCATCCCTTCTTCTGACAGCAGTTTTTAAAAACTCACTTTTATCAACTCTTTCTAAAGCATTTAACAGTTCATGAAATATTCCTTCAAACCGATTGTTTCATTGCTCTATGAAAATCTACCTAAATTATAATAATTACAATAACTGATCAATAGCATGACGAGGTTCTAAGTGGTCAAATCCAACTTACAACCTACTTATGAAGCCAGAATTGTATACAAATGTGTCAGAGAGTAGCCTACTAACAACATTGACACATGTGGGCTTAAAACCAGATGTTTTCGGCAGAATGTCAAGTACGAAACCCCCACGTAAATTAACCAGCAGTACATCAGAAGAACTTTGACTATACTGGCATATGGATCCCTTACATGCTATATATATATATACATATACACACACCTCACTGTCTCTAGGGTCTACTTTTCAAATTTTCTCCAATATAGCTTATAGATGCTACTACTATAATTCTTAAACAGAAGAATACTTACAGGACTTCTAACTCAGAGGGTTTAACTATAAATCATTCATTTCCTTACTTCAACAAATACATAATGAGAAACTATTAACTATAAAGTACTATGATAAACAATGATAATGATGATGATGATGATGATAATGATGATACGGAGACAAATGGTAAAACTTTTCCCATGCTAAGTTTACTTATCCAGGCAGGAGTCCTATCAGCATCTCAGAAAATGACCTAGATTTTGATTTAAAGACACTTTGATAGGTAAAGAAAAACATAAATTCTCAAAATCCACATATGCTTCTCACTGTAGAGGAGTTAGTCCCAGACCAAAGAAATTAAGGTCCTCCTGAAAACGAAAGGAAGAGATTGGCCCAATTCTAGCCTATCTTCCAGGTAAGAATACAGTACACTTCCCTTATTTTGTTTTGTTTTAGTTCAGTTACACAAATTCATCCTTTGACATTAGAGTGTTCACAATTTATGATAGTAATTCTAATTTAGGGCATGTAAATTAGTGTATTCTCTTGAGTTAATATATTTAAAATACTTCAGTCACATGTACATTCATGCTTTTTCTCATATATAAAGAGTTCAGTAATTTCATAGTACTTCTAAATTCTGGTAACTTTATATAATGAAAGTAAATTGAATAATGGATGCACTTACTACTCTCACCTTTTTCTAATTAACATTGGAAAAAAAAAAACAAGCTTGTTCTGTTGGTAAAATAGTCAAATCCTATAATGTTTAAAGAATTAAAGCAAAATAAATATACTCTCACCTTTTTCTACTTAACATTGGAAAAAAAAAAACAAGCTTGTTCTGTTGGTAAAATAGTCAAATCCTATAATGTTTAAAGAATTAAAGCAAAATAAAAAAAAAAACCTGCTGTATATTTACCCTGCTTAAAGATAAGTATAACCAAAAAAAAAAAAATAAAATTATAAGAAAGCTACCTAATAAAACTATCTTCTTATATGAGGCTCCTACTAAACACTAGTGTTGTCATCATTATTAAAAGGCTGAGGAATCACCTGCCCCACCCATATTCATTAATTTTACTTTTTAATAAAGTCATCATCATCATCATCATTGTTTTATCATAGTACCTTATAGTTAATAGTGTCTCATTATGTATTTAAATTCCCATGGGTTTGGATCGTAAGAAGATCTTAAAAGATGGATATTATTTTCTTTGATACTCATAATTGAGAAATAAAGCTTCTACTAGAAAGTCTAATAACTTCCTTTAAATGAAAAACTAATCAAAATTCAATTTTCTTTTTTCTTCTTTTCCAGTCTTGCACAGGAAATAACTATTACAGAAACAAGGTATAGAAAAATAATTATTATGTCAAAGAATTCAAAAAAAGAAATTTTCAACAATACTCAAATCCACTTCAGAAATAAAAATACATAGAAAAAATAAATGCTGATATGGACTATTTAAAGATTAAAATTAGGAAGTTATTAATTGGTTCAAAAATGCTATCCTAGATATTACATTCTCCATGAACTTGAACATCAAAATTTTGACCTCCAAAATTTAATTTTCAAATAGTTTATAAAAATATTTCTATCAATTAAAACAAAGTCACAGATCTAGAAAAGCCATCTAAGATTATCTAGTAGAAATCCTTAGTTTTATAGATGAAGAAATTAAACTCTAAAGAATAACATACTCAAGGTCACAAGTTTTGAAGATACAACAATCAGGGTCTATACTAAATTCTAAACCAATTCAAAGCTCCTTCTTTCACTAAACTATGAAATGAGAGAAAGAAAAAATGCTCCCTACCCCCACCCCTGCAAAAAGAAAAAAAAAAACCAAGAATATGTGAAAGCAAAAAGAAAACAAGGAAGCAGAAATATTGAAAAGCAGAATGACAGCTGGGAAACTAGAAACACAGTGTTCTCTCAACCACATCATTCCCAGTAAAGTTTTCATAGTTATCTCATTATGTAGTAAAACTTAATTTCTTGTAATATCTCAATTAAAACATTGGTTTTATAATGTGAACTATATAGTTAAAAGCCATTTATATTATTATATTTTGTGAATCAATGTATTAATAAATATTTATAGAGATGGAATTCTGACATTTTCTTTTTCATTTTCCTCCTATGTTTATTTCCTTACCCAATGTCTGATCCTAGCAACTTCAACCATTTGAGTAATAAGTAGGCAAATGTGCAAAATAAGTCTGACTTTTCATTGCTCTTTTACTTCCAAACCACATAATTCCAATATGGAAAGGATAATCCAAAACATACTTCTTTATCTTAAACCCATTTAAATTTCACCATTTTACTTTAAGCTTAATATGTCCATATTGATCTTTAACATACCTTTATAAAATGCATTATACAGAATTTATGAAGGTTATTTTTCCCAAAATTCCAGACTTTAATTTCTTTTGCAGTCAAATCTAATATATATCAAAGAACTTTTTATATCTTTTGTACATTAACTAATTATAACCTGTTATTCAAAAATTTGGAACCACTGTGTCTTTAATGTAAGATTAATTGTGTAATAAGAACACCATTCTAAACAAATACAAAATTAGTTTTTGTATATCTTTGTCATTAATTACAAGTCAAATTTAACTGCTAATTTTTGTTATTGTGGTAGTGGTGGTACTGAGGACTGAACGCAGGACGTCACACAAGCTCTCTACTACTGTGCGTTACACCCCAGCTACATCCCAAGCCCTTTTAAGACTTCCTTTAATAGATAGAATTAACAAAAATACTTCAAGTATGATGCTCAAATCTATCACTATGAAAAAGACCAAATTTGGCTGGGGTAGTGGCTCAGTGGTAGAGCACTTGCCTAGCACACATGAGGCACTGGGTTCAATCCTCAGAACCACGTAAAAATAAATAAATAAATAGATTTCTTGGGTCCATCTGCAACTAAAAATATTTTTTTTAGAAAAAAAGCCAAAATTGTTAAGATGTGAAACCTTAACATGATTGACAGTGGCTTGGAATACAGTCATCAGAACTCCCCTAGTATATTTGGACCTATTGGGCCCCTAATCTTCCCTGCTCTTTAGGCTTAAAAATGGCACAGGCACTGTTGCAAAAGTACAAGATTCCTTTACCACTGAAATACAAATTAGATAAAGACAGGAAGAATATAATGCAAAACATGTTATAAGTTTATTATAAATATATTTTAGATGATGGTGACAACAATGATAAAAACTAATATTTGTGGAGAATTATTTAATTCTCATAAAAACCCTATTATTTTCTGGTTGAGAAAACTTGCCCATTATCACAGAGTTTGTCACTGGAAGAACTAGAATTTGAAATCATGTCTCCCTGACTTCAGAGCCTTTATTCTTAAACTCTGTATTTTCATTTCCTGTCTTTAATCTTAGTCAATAAGCATTTATTGAATACTTACTATACCTACTTGGGACTCTGGAATATGTAAATTAATTTCAGATGATTATTAAAGTACTGATTTATTTGAGTTTTTCAATCCCAAGAGTTAAAGCATGTACTTTTTTTGGAGGGGAGTATTATTGGGAATTAAACCCGGGGTGCTTTATCACTGAGTTATAACGCCGGTCCTTTTAATTTTTTATTTTGAGACAGGGTCTCAGTAAGTTGCTGAGGCCTGGCCTTGAACTTGCAATCCTCCTACCTCAGTATCCCAAATCAATGAGATCACACATGTGTGCACTATCATACTGGATACACACTTCCTTGAAAGATTTCAAAGGTAATTGATGATTTCATTCAATAAATGTTTATATTGAGTACCTGTTATGACGTTAAACAGACAAAAAGATAAATAACTGAGACATAATTTTGCCATCAAGTCTCAAACAAAATACATAAAATATTACACATAATTTAAGCTTTAACAAAAGCATTTCTTTCAAATAATTCTGCTATTATCATTTCATTAAAAACTTCTAAAGTCTGCAAATTGCTAGTTAATTTTCATAAGGAAACACTTTTCCTACTGTCAAAACATTCATGGACCTGAATAATGTATATATAAAGTAAAAAACATGAAAGGTGAAGGAATTTGCTATTAGCTTACATTTTCTATGACAAATGTCCACTCTTTGTCTTCAAATTCCTCTGCATGAGGATCCTGTAACAAAGACAAAATATGAAATTGAAATACATGTCTTTAGTCAAATCAATTCAATTAATAAATTACATACAACTTTGTTTTTATCTTTTACTAAAAGGGAGAAGTAAAGGGTTGGGATTGTGGCTCAGTGGCAGAGCACTTGCCTCGTACATGTGAGGCACTGGGTTCAATCCTTAGCACCACATAAAAATAAATAAACAAAATAAAGATACTGTGTCCATAACTAAAAAAAAATTTAAGAAAGGAAGAAGCAAAATAGCCTCTTACCCTTATGATACTTTCATAATTACTCTAAGTTTAAGTCCATTGTTTTATATTATGAAGTTCTATATTTTACTTTTATTGATACATATCACTATTTTCCATCATTTCATCTATGGCAAAACAAAAAGAAACCTGATTGGAGAGAGATAATTCATTAGGGTTATTAAATGCTCATACAAATCTCTGCCCTCAGTTTTATCCATAAAGTACTTTAAACCAAAAGTACCACTCCAAACAAGGTGTTCTTCAGTGTAGAGGTTTTATACATATCTAGAACTCCTAAGCACTACACGCAACTCATAATCCAGACAAAATGGTGAATCAGCATGGGGATATTGATACCCTCCTACCATTTCTCCCCATTAACCCTGGAAATGCCCAGAAACATGAGAAATGCAATCTTTTTTTTTTTAATACGGCACACTTTTGCAGGCATTTATTTGACAAACATTTATTAAGTACTTATTACCTAAGAGTTTGTAAAGGTGTTACATGGGTTTAAACATAATTGTTCTTGCTTCCAAAGACAAACACAATAACTTTAATCTAAATACTTATAGATGATGAATGAAATAAATCCACCCAGGTGGGTTAAAAACCTGATACAAGAAATTTCTTTGGTGGTGCTAGACAAGGGAAGGTCAGGACAGTGTAGAAGAGAAAGGGAAACTGAACAATTGATACTGGTTTCCCTAGCTGCTTCTGCCCATGAACTAGGTTTATGGAGAACAATGACTATAAATAAAGATTGAAGGAGTTTTTCATAATGGATTTAAGACATAAATAATGCTAATTTAGAGAACAGCCTATTATCCTCCCAACCTGTCTTATTTTTTTAAGGAAAACAGCATAGCTCTAGCATAATTAGTATCAAAATAATAGTAATACAAAATATGTATTGAGCGCTCACCATATTCTAGTCATTGTGTTAAGTGCCTTACTCATCACAGTAAGTTTTGACATACGTACTATTTTCACTCCCATTTAACAGAATAGAAAACTGAAATCTAAGAGAAAATTTCTCATGGTACACAAGTAAACACTGAAGCATTATGATGCAATACCAAGTCTGTCTGACTTTAATCTACTTTCAATTTAACCACTGTGTCCCCAGGACCAAGAATGTTATCTGGCACACAGCAGGCTCTCAAGAATACTTGATATATGAATTAATAGATGTATGTCTCAAAACTTAACAAAGATTTAACAGTACCCTATATATTCTAAGAAATACTTAACTTCTTAAAGTAGATAAACATTGTTTCTAAAACACAGATGATGTATTGCCTCTAAAAGAATTTTTACTAAGGAATAATTTCAATAGACCAAGAAACATCTGATAGGGTAGAGTTAGTAAAAAGATGTGAAAGAACAATAATGTTCATTTTTAAGGGACTTAAAAATGGCATTTTTATATAATTAACTCTTAATATTACTGACCAAAAACATAAATGAGAATGACTTCTGGTTTGAATCAATGAAGATTTATATCCTATTCTCTCACCATTGTTTCCTTTCGTCCTAGTACTCTAAAGAGAAAAACTGAAATGACTTAAGATTTGCCATTTTCCTTCTTAAAATCCTAAAAGGCATTTTTTAAAAATTTACTAGAAACAGCTATTTTCAACTTAATTCAAATTTCAAAAACAGGTACTAGTCTAAAGAAATTAACTTCTAGTTAAATCAGAAAAGTTATTGGGCTGATAAAGCACTGGTCTATCATGCATGAGGTCCTGGGTTCAAAACCCAGCCGCAAAAAAAAAAAAAAAGGATAAGTCACCAAAAACTGAAATATATGGACAACTTTCTTAAAAAGCACCTCTCTGTGAGAATACCTCTGTGAATACTCTACTGAAGCTAATTGCAAATTTCAAGACTGAATAAACTACATTATTTAGTATAAGAAAGGAAAAAATATAATTTTTTTCACTTGAATTATTTTTAAATACTGCTCAAAAACAAGATCCAAAAGTTGCCATGAAAGTTTGAAGTTGTTTCATTTTGCTCTGTACTTTTCACTTTTCTATTAGAATTTCTGAGGGCATGGGAGAGCCAGGAAGATAAAAATTCAGTTGAAAATTCATTTAAATATTGAAAATGGTCACAAGATTGCTCCATTAGTACAAGTGACAAGAAATGCTGAATACAGCAAACTGGAAAGGAAGAGATGTTTTGTTTTTCCTCCTATATTCTAACACCAAAGGCTTCAGTTCAGTGATCTCAAGGACATAGGGAACATTCTCTTCACTACTCAAAAACTACACTAACTCCCAATACTCCAAGCAACAGTCATTTCAACAGTCATTTTCAGCTCAAAATCAGTCAGTGTATATTTTTATCCCAAACATATGGCCGTCAGCTATTTACCAGCTCCATTCTAACCCCTTGTTCTTTATCACCATTTTTTAAAAGTTATAAAACTAAGTCCACTCATTTGCCTTACCAATATGAAAAAAAGACTAAATTAACATATTTAAGAAAGTACTCAAAAGTCTTCTTTAAGAATGTCACATCTTGCTGTCTAGTCAATATTCATAACTTGTGAATAAAAAGTAGGCAAAGAGGAAAGAATAGGACTAATGGGATATTTGAGCAAGTTACCTTCCTTTCTAGTCTGTTTCCTTATCATTAAAATGGTAATAATGATAAAATCTTAGGGTTGTTTTGAGAATTAAATAATACATGTAGAGACTCTGAACGTACTGCTCTTAACCAACCAGCTTAGCACATTAATTCCCATAGAAGAATTATGCAGAAGAGGGTTTAATAAACAGGCTTATAGGGTATCTGGTAAAAGGGCAATAGGGTAGTCTGACCATCCTGGAAAAGAAGAGCTGCTACTGTGTTTCACTCCTTATTTATCCCTGATCAAATCAGAGAGAAGGTGTGTGAGTGCGCGCGTGCATTTGTGAAAGAGAGAGATGACAAATACAATCAACTAACGTTTCGATGTCAGTAACAGTAACATCAAAATTAAAAAATACATATGTTAAGAATCTTTTGTAAAACAGTATGAAATACAGAGCATTTAAAAATAATACTTTAGGGCTTGGTTTGTGACTCAGTGGTAGAGTGTCTACCTAGCAAGTATGAGTTCAAGACTGGGTTCAATACTCAACACCACATAAAAAAATAAATAAATAAAATAAATAAAGTTGTTATGTCCATCTGAAAATAAAAATGTTTTTTAAAAAATAATACTTCATCTATGGACCAGTGCATTAACACTCATCTTATTGGATTTTTTCCTACTGATCTCAACAGTACTTTCTGAATACTGAAGTGAATTAATATTTTGGATCACAAAAACAAAAGCACTTTTTAAAACACAGTGATTTCACACTCAGTTCTAATTTCACTTTGCTTTACTTTAATTTCATGTCCTAAAATACTTAATGGATTTTCACAAACTTCATAATACTAAATTACACTTAATGAGATGCCCTCTTCTCTCTTGTCCTTCTGGAAAAGTAACTTCCTAATCTGAATCATTCAGAGAGGAAATAAAGCTTTTATTTTCTAATTCCACCATCCTCCAAAAAAAGCTAAAATTTGAACATACTTGTCCCACCATTTTTTAGGAGCTGGTAAAGAGTTGGTTAGGAAAGTAAATACTCCACTGCTTGATTAACATATGTGTGAAGAGAATTATAAAGTTTCAAAAAATATGGAAGATTTTCAAGAAAAAAATACATACAAAACAAGAAGAAATGTACATGAACAGTTACATTTTTTAATATATGCTTTGAATGTATAACCAGAATTTGCTGGTATTACACTCATAAATATTAATATCAATTAATATTTGCCAAATATTGATTATAAACATGTCTTATTACATTGACATTAGTAAAATGCTTATTGAAAACTAATTTTAAACAACTCATTATTAAAAAAGACTAACAAGGGCTGGGGCTGGGGCTGGGGCTCAGTGGTAGAGTGCTTCCCTAGCACTTGAGAGGCCCTGGGTTCAATCCTCAACACCACATAAAAATAAATAAAATAAAGGTATTGTGTCCAACTACAACTGAAAAATAAATATTTTTTTAAAAGAGACTAACGAAATAAGGGACAAATCTAAGTATTCTATAAACTTTAGCTTTTCACAGGAAAAGTACTTTAAAGATTCCTATGGATTGAATGTAGGAAGTGGTAAAAGAAGTATCTCAGCTAATATTAACAGTAACTTCAAAATGATCCCTGAATTATTCAGACTTCATAGACTGTAAAATACTGTGATGCTTTACATCATAGTAAATTCCTATATTCCTAAAAATAGTGTATATTAGATACCAGATTGGATATAAATGTATGAAACAATAAATAATGAAATGTTCTCTCATTTAGAACCATGGGTATTTAATACATTTTATAACTTATAATAATAGAACTTACCTTAAAAAGTGTTACAGTGATTTCAATGTTTTCAGGAACAGGCCATACAACAACACCACGGTATGGATTCTTTATTCCAGGTTGCCAGCTATGAGCCTATCAATATGAGGTACAGAAAATACAATGTTAATAATTTACATGAGTTTATTGACTTTATTTAGTCATCCATTAGATCTATAGTCTCTCTAAAATATGATTAGTAAACATGATTAGTAAAATAAAAACTTTCAAGCATAAAGCTGGGCCAGAACAAATCATATCACATGAGAGTTATAGATTACTATCTATAAAGAAACTTCATCCCCATATATACACACACTGAAAAAACAAAGATGTAAAAATCCTTCATACTGGGGATTAAACCCACGAGAACTTTACCACTGAACAACACTTCCAGGCCTTATTTTATTTTATTTTTTTATTTTGAAACAGGGTCTCACTAAATTGCTGAGGCAGGCCTCAAACATACAATTTTCCTGCCTCAGCCTCCTTAGTAGCTGGGATTACAGGCATGTGCCACAGCACCGAGCTCTCATATATTCAAAAGCTATCATTTCTAATTAGATAGAACTTTTATTAGGAAAAATATTTTTTTGACTAAGAACTTTAAGACATTTTTTGAAAGAAAAAATACTAATCAGGTGTAGTGGTGCACACTGATAGTCCTAACTACTCAGCAGGGCTGAGGTGGAGGATCACTTGAGCCCAAAAGTTCAATACCAGTGTGAGCAACACAGTGAGACTCTGTATTGAAAGAAAAAGAAAAATGGAAAAACATAGCTGTGTGCTTTGTATTTAAGTTCATTTTCCACTAAACTACAATGTTTATCCATTGGGGTAAGTAAAAGAAAACAGCAATTTTTCCAGGTAAAAGAAAACAGCAATTTTTCCAGGCAATATTTCTAATATTCTAATACTTAAAATTTAGGGGATTATTTTCCCCCTTATAAGTCTTGATTACCAAGGTATCCTAAGGAACCTCCAACCCCCCAAACTTTCAGGTGAGTTCATCACCACAGTTCTTCCTTTGTGGTAAAGGTGAGCTGTTAGAAGAAGGCAAGCCAAGATATCTCAACCAAGTCTTCATCTCTATAGGCTGCAGGACCATCCATGAGTATATTATGAAGGTAATAAAGGGTAACACAGAGTACTTTCTATGTTTTAGTGCATGTTCTGACAATGAGTTTAACATAATTAAATTAATAGTGGCTATGAGATAGCTACTATTGATTCATTCATTCACTTGATACTATTTGCCAATTGATACTATTTGCCAAGCACTGTTCTAGGCACAGGTGTAGTGAAAAAGCACCTACCTTGGTGAAGTTTATGGTATAAATGGGAAGAGACGGACAAGTAAAATATACAGTATATTAGGTGGAAGTTAAGTGGTAAGGAGAAAACACAGTAGCAAAGAAGGATAGAGGAGAGGAAGAGACGTAATACTTCAACAGCAGTAGTCGGTTTCACTGAGATGGTAACACTTGAGGTAAACCTGTAAGAAACTGGACATGAGAAGAGCTTTCTAGGGGGAAAAAAACCCAGCAACTAACACTGAGGCACTTAATAAAAAACAAGGACAATGTGGCTGGAGCAGAGTGATCAAGAGGAGAGAAGCAGGAGATGAGGCCAGAGAAGAAATGGAGGACCCAATCACATAAAGCCCTGGTAGGCCATTACAAAGTTATAGGTTTGTACTTTGCACCAAATAAAAAGTCACTGGAAGTTTTTAAGTGAGAAATTATTATCTAAATTATGTTTCAACAAATTCATTTTGGTTAATTTGTCCAGAATAAACCGCAGACATGGAGAGGAAAGAGCTAAGACCAATTTTGCTACTGCAAAAAAAGGAAGAAGGTGCTGCAGGCCAGGCATGGTGACACATTATTGGAAAACCAGCAATTCAGGGATAGGGTTGCTGGCTCAGCAATAGAGCCCTCGTCTAGCATGAGCAAGGCCCTGGGTTCAATCCTCAGCACCACATAAAAATAAAATAATTAAAGATATTGTGTCCAACTACAATTAAAAAATAAAATATTAAAAAAAAAAAGGAAACCAGCAATTCAGGAGACTGAGGCAAAAGGTTCACAAGTTGGATGCCAACCCAGCAATTTAGCAAGACCCTGACAATCAATCAATCAATCATTCAATTAGGAGCTGGGATGTGGCTCAGTGGTAAAGTGTTCCTGGGTTCCTGGAGTCTCAATCCCCAGTACCAAAAAAAAAAAAAAAAAAAAAAAAAGGAAGGGGAGAACTGATGGTGATTTGGCTGTGACTAATTCCAAAGACTTTGTCCTTGAACACTAGAAGAAAGAAATTGTTATTAGTGAATATGAGACTGTGGGAAGGATAGGTTTGGCAAATAAGTTCAGATGAGCTGTTTTACACACATTAAATCTGAGTTGCCTTTTAGATACATAAGTGTGAACATTCAAACAGGCAGCTTGAATATATGATTCTAGAGTTCCCCAAATTTGGGAATTAAGAGCACATAGGTGATACTTTGAGCTTAAGAGTGGTTATGATCACAAGGGATTGAATACAAATAAAGAATATAAAGGTCCAGGGACTGAGCCTTGGAACACATTAACAAGTCAAAGAAATGATAGGAATCAGCAGAGCTGTATCGCTGAAGTAGAAGAAAAACCAGGAGGAATGTTACCAGTGCCAAAAGTTAATGATAGGTCGAATAGGATAAGGTCTGATAACGACCCCAGATTTTACAAAGCAGAAACATTAACTTTATAAGAGCAGTGCCATTGTAGTGCTGAGAGCAAAAGCCTGATAATAAAATCAAGGAAGAATAGGAGGAAAGAAATTAAAGACAGAAAATACATTCAACTCTTCTGAAGTATTTTGCTGAAGGGAAAGAAAAAAAGGAAAAAAAAAAAAGGTTAGTGCTAGAGGGAGAAACAGTAACAGAAGATAATTTTTTTAAGAGGAGAAAAACATTCTGAAGCTAATGGGAAATATCTAGTAGAGAGGGAAAACTTAATGATGTGGAAGAGAGAATTGCTGCAGTATTGTCCTTAACAGTAAACAGCAAAGCAGCTGCCTTTTTTGGAAGCCCATTTTTCCATAATCAAAGAAAAGAAGTTCAGAAAACATGAATGCACGTGCATGTCAGAGCACAGATGTCACAGATGAGGAAACTTAAGGCACAGATCTGCCCAAATCTCACAACATGTAAGTAGGCAAAATTTGAATTTGAACGCAGGCCATGGAAATGAAAACGGATAAAGATCATGGAATCTTATATCCATGCCAATATTATCAAATTTTATTAGTTAAAATGACAGATGATATAGGTTTAAAGTGTACCCCAAATCCAACTCACAGATTTTCAATAATTCTCCTTCTCTTCACTCTCCATTGTCCCCATTACAAAACATCACGTAAGAAGAAGAAAGTAAAGACTCACCATAAGAAACTTAGCACATTATAGTCAAAGGTAAAGAACTAAATTTTGTTGATTAAAAAATATCTTCTGCAGAGATTCCTCTAGTCCCCTATTTCCATGCCTACTGATAGCTAGAAGGTCCCTATAATTATATTTTCATAGCCTCCCTATACAACAGAAACATAAAAAAGAGTATAGACTGAACTTTTCTCAGCCACAGCAGAAAGAATGGAATATTTGTAACATTCTCAATGGGGGGAAAAAAGTTACCATCAAAAAGTTTTAAACAAAAAGGTCCTTAGACCTAATTTAGGTCTGGACAAGGAAACTAAAGCAAACAAAGAGTAAATGGCTTGCCTGAACAGATAACTAGTAATTAGTAGAAGAATCCACATTCCATGATTCCAAGTTCTTTACCCAACCCATATCATTCATGTTCAGTTCTATCACTGATTCAGGCAGTAGTCAACAAAACAGTCTTTTATCTCTAAAAACAAAATTTCTGTGTATGACACAATAACAAAATGGGAAAAGCAGGAAATGTAGAATCCTCCTAACAACTGTGCAGTTAGGAGATGGTAGTTTCAAATGATTTCCTCATGAATCCTAAAGTCTGGTCCTCTAAATGATGTCTTTTCAAATATCAGTCTTGGATCAGGAAATGATAGATTGTTGAGCAAACAAAAATACAATCTGCTTACCAACAAAAATCTTTTTTTAAATAAAATAAAATAGAAATATGCTAGTTCCTGAGTTGAAAATAAGTTGCCACTTTTCTTACCTTTCTATCAGTATCTCTCGACCCAGAAAAAGGTCCAACTAAGTTACTTCTCTGTCTTTCTGATATTCCTTTGGGGCCTGTAAACCTGAGTTAAGATACTAACAATATCAACTACCTTAGCTATGTAGCTGACAATGAGTGTGTTCAGTGCCAGTGTTATATCATCACTTAATTATTATATACTATTTAGAAAAATAAGAGGACCAGGAAAGTATACTAGAGAAGAAATCAAGATTAACAAAAAGTGACAAACATGAAAAAAAAAATGGTTTTCATATTTTCCTAAGAACTTAATACAATGTCTACCTCAAACAGCAGTGTTTCAAGAGCCTGAAGCTAGATAACGAAGTTTAATACAGGTAACTCAAACTAGCTCTGGTAATAAACATCTAATTGTACCAACCTTTAATTTAGGTTCTTAAGAGACTGATATAGAAAAAGCACATCACTGGTAAATATCAGCACTATAAGAAGCCTGATTAGTTTTCATTCAGAGTAACAGAAAGGATTTCTCTAGAAAAGAATTACACACATAAACACATGTCCAATTATTTATCTCCTAGTATAAGTTAGGAAAGTGAGGTTATTTAATCATTTGCCAAAATTCTAATGCAGATAAGACATTAGAACATGTTACCCAGGTCCCTCTGTAAAGTTTTTCTCATTTTTTTAGATCACATCACAGATTCTTTGGCATCTACCAAAAAAAAAGGTGTAGGGAAAAATGCAACATTTCTCAATTTGAGGTACTGACTTTATAAAAATGCCTTACTTTCTAATTATTTCATGCCTTGCCTTACCTAAAAGACTGGTACCTTGGTCTGGGGCTGTAACTCAGTGGCAAAGCACTTGCCTACCATGCATGAGGCACTGGGTTTGATCCTCAGCACCACACAACAATTAACAAATAAAATAAAGGCATTCTGTCCATTGACAACTACAAAAATTATTTTTTAAAAAAAGATTGTGTACCTAGTATGAAAATAAATACAACTAATAAGCACTCACTTGTTATTTCTGATTCCTGAAAAATAAAAATATTTCACTAAAAATTTACAATTGCCATATGCTTAAGTCAATAATTTTTTATTTTTAAAACTGCATATACCCATATGTTTAAGATGTCACACATAAAGTCATCCTAGTGTTGCCAATATCACTGCTATTAAGCAAAGTGAAGGTATACTTCCTCTTGACATGGAAGGATGCATATTTAAAGGCTGTAGCACAACCACAGAGCAAGGAAATAAAAGATAGCAATGCCATAAAAAAACTGGTGTACATACGTATTCATAAATGAAAGTAGAGAGAGAAGATGGGAGGGGAGGGGAGGGGAGGGGGTATAGTAGAGGATAGGAAAGACAGCAGAATACAACAGACACTAGTATGTAAAAACGTGGATGTGTAACCGATGTGATTCTGCAATCTGTACATGGGGGGAAAATGGGAGTTCATAACCCACTTGAATCAAATGTATGAAATATGATATGTCAAGATTAATTAAGCAAAGTGAAGGTATACACCTTCCTCTTGACATGGAAGGATGCATATTTAAAGGCTGTAGCACAACCACAGAGCAAGGAAATAAAAGATAGCAATGCCATAAAAAAACTGGTGTACATACGTATTCATAAATGAAAGTACATACAAACATTTACAATATATATTTACAGATATATAGAGATAAGACTAAAAAAAGATACATAAAGAGACAACAGAAACAAAAAGATTACTTTGTAGCTCAAACTCTTTTCAACATATTAAAAGTAAAAACTAGAACGTTTTTTGGCCAATGCTTGCAGTGATCTGTGCCCCTAAGTGATTTCAAAGGCACGTAGAAGCAAATAATGTATACTTTAAAGGAAAAGCATCAGAAGAGTCTTTCAGGAAAAAAAAAAAAAATTCTAGTCTTTATACTTAATATAACTGATAGCTAAATTTAGAAAACCTGGTGGGGACAAGCTTTTTTTTCCCCCAAGAATTTCAAAATGTCAGGCTGGGATTATGGCTCACTAGTAGAGCACTTGCCTAGCATGTGTGAGATACTGAGTTTGATCCTTGGCACAACATAAAAAAATAAATAAGTAAATAAATCATCATCATCATCATCATCATCATCATCATCATCATTGTGTCAATCTACAACTAAAAACATATTTTTTGAAAAATTATAAAATGTCAAGGATCTCAAGTTTCTCAAGATTTTTTTTTTCCAAAAGTTATTTTAAGCACTTTTAAAATGTCATAATCACGTCATAGTTTCTGGAACTAATTTTTATTTCTTTATTTAGCTATTACATCTGATTTATAAAATAACATTTTCACAGATACTTAAATATACTATTGTATATGTTGTGATAAGCTCAACACATCATCAGTTGTCATAAACTTTTCCAAAAGAGTACATTTGCAGTATTTTAAGAAAACGCGATGACTGTGATTCTAAAGTAGTCAGTCATCCCTTGATATACAAAAGAGTGATTGGGTTCCAGGACCTTCCTTGGATATCAAAATCCACAGATGCTTAATTATTACCTATGCATGTCTTATCATATATTTTAAATCATCTCCAGATTACTAATGTAAATGCTACATAAGTAGTTGTTGTTCTATACTGTTGAGGCAATAATGATAAGAAAAAAATCCACACATGCTCACTACAATCATAACTGCTTTTCTCAAATATTTTCAATCCACAGTTGGTTCAATCTACAAATGTGGACCCATGGATAAGGAAGGCTGGTCATATACAGGATGGTTTTGAAACATTAAGAGCGTTACACCTAGAAAATGAGGCCAACAAGAAGAAATTTCTTCTAGAAAATATTACATTCTGAGAAAAATCAACCTGTAGCCTCATATGTTGTATTTTGTGATCTAAATTAAAACAATATTTGATACAATATGAAAAAGAATCTAGATCAAATGGAAAATTTATTTGAATCACTCCAAAAATGTAAATAAATTTTTAAAAGTACACTTAACATCAGATATGAGTATTTGTGATTAACCTATATTATTATATTATATTATATTATATTATATATATTTCATTATGTTCCATAATTTTCTTTTGGAAAATATTTGCTACCTTATTATGAAAAGGGAGAAATTATTTTCTGTTTGTAGCTAAAAACATGTAAGGTCTACTTCTGAAGTTTAGAGATATAATCATATTCATCTATTATATTTACTGGATAACATTCTAGTCCTTTCCACAAAAGCTTAAGACCCAGTCAGCAATCTGACATACAGAAGACCCTGTGTCTATTTTTAGACCCCTTTCTCATAGGTAAATAGATACAGTATCTAAATTATAATACCGCCAAACTGTAAATGTATGCTGTAAAGAAAATGCTGCTCATGATGTAAACCATCTTAAACTTCTGTATTGTTTTTGGGAGTGCTTGGCAATTTCTTAAAAACAATCCTATTTTATTACCCAGGATTACATCACTAGGTATTTGCCCCCCCCAAAAAAAATGAACAATAATGTGCATAGCAGCTTTATTCACAATAGTCAATATTCCTGAAAGAAAAAAAATTGAAACAAAATAAACACTCATCAACAGAGTAAAAGATAAATAAATTATAGTATATTCACATAATGGAATACTACTTGGCAATAAAAAATAAACTGCTAAAAGACATGAGAGCATAAATAAATCTCAAAAACATTATACTGAACAAAAGAAACCATACATAAAACAGGACTTCTGTACTATTTTACATAAAATTCAAAAACAATCAGTTAGTCTAAGGTGACAGGGTTGGGAACTGACTGGAAGAGGAATAATGAAAATAGTCTGTATCTTGACAGGAGTGGTAATTAACAAAAATACATAGTGATCAAAACTCACTGAAATATAATTGAAATATGTACATTATACCTCATGTAAAATTTAGCTCAATAAAAATAAAACTTGGGGCTGGGGCTGTAGCTCAGTGACATAACAATTATATGGGTTTAATCCTTAGCACCGCATAAAAAAATAAGTAAATAAAAATAAAGGCATGCTGTCTATCTACAACTACTAAATAAATAAATAAATAAATAAATAAATAAATAAATAAATAAAAGAAACTTGAAAAGACCCCTTAGTAAAAAATTAAAAATTTTTAAAAATTTTAAATTTCAATTAGAATTAATAATTTTTCTTTATATAGGTCTACCTATAGGAAAAACAACATTCCTATGGATAATTATTCCTATGGATATTATGTAGCTATAAAAATATATTCACATGTATCTACTAAATAGAATTGTTTAAATAGTTGTAAAATTGCTAACAGCCTTTAAATTTTTTTTTTCTAGTCCCCACATACAAAACTGTCAGTACAAAAAAATTAAAATCTTGAAAAGCCAACTCCTCTTGGGATCTGAAAAAAATTAATCCTAGATACAATTCTTTAAGTGATATCTGTTTAATCATTAATTTTTAACACTTTACTTACAGAGAATTTAAATAACCATTGTGTTGCTCAAGATTATTACTGTCTCAGCACATTGTGCTGTTGTAACAAAATACCATAAACAGGATAATTTATAAACAGCAAACATTCATTTCCTCATAATGGTGGAAGCCAGGAGGTCCAAGATCAAAACATCAAAATCCAGTGAGGGCCTTTTCTCACTGAATCCTAACATGGCATGAGGCAGATGGGCAAAAAGGATTGAACTGCCTCCCTTTAAGCTAGGGAACCTAATTCCATTCATAAGGGAGAAAGCCTTCATAGCCTGATCACCTTGTAAGGCTATCGCCACCTAATATGTGATAGGCAACATCTGAATTTTGGAGGGGGACACATTCAAACCACAGTAGCTACCAAATTCAATATCAAAACTCAGGGGGGCTGGGGTTGTGGCTCAGTGGTAGAGCGCTTGCCTAGCATGTATGTGTGAGACCCTGGGTTCGATTCTCAGCACCATATATAAATAAATAAATAAAATAAATGTTAAAAAAAAAAAAAAAAACCTCAGGCATCTGGCCCCCACTATAAAACTGCAGTTAAAAGATTTCAGGGCCTAATCAATCTATTTTAGTAGATTAGCTAATAAGAAAAAAAAAAAGACCAAGTAATATTTTAAAATATTCTAAACTAGGACAAGAAAAGCTTAAATTTTTGACTAAAAGTTGAATTCAATATTTGGGCAAGAAATTTAGAAAAGAGACTAACCTTAGAAGACTTCCTTCTACTTCTTCTTGTCCAAACTACCACCAGTTTATCTGGTTGCCTGCCAAAGAGGAAAAAGAATTTAAATATTCAGTTATCTAAACCAAATTAACACTTTACTTTGGTGTCTTTAAAAGGGAAAAGTCTCCCAAGGGGTGGGGAGGTTGTCATCTGCTTTCAATTATACAGGACAATGACTCTTCAAATAAAGGGTCAAATACAGATGCAATCTAATTTAACTACTATTTCATCCACATGCTCTTCTAAAAATACATTAGCAATTCATTGAGAAAAGCCAAGTAAATAGAATATTTAGAATTGATTACTTACATATCTACTCCAAAATTAGTATCATAATTGTAACACATTATCCCCTTTATAGAGAAAAATAAGCATACAAAGGGCACTTTCAAAATAATTTAAATCTATGGGTTACACTACTTTTTCATCTCCATATCTTATGAACAATGCTTATAGTTTTTAAAACATTTTAATAATCATTTCAATTATCTCCATTCAAACAACCCAGTACTGAAAAATAGGCAAAGTATACATTATTACCTACATTTTAAAAGCTTAAAAACCCTAACTGATCAAAACCTCTGGCAGAACCAAGACCAAAATTCAGGTCTTTATTTCTCAGACCTCCTTCCTTTTTACCCTTCTCCTAGGATAAAGTAAAAATAATAATAATACATTTTTAGTTAATACAACTAAGTTCTCTTTTGGGCTTACAGAAAATGTTGAGTTTTCAGTTACTTTAATTATATTTTCATCTTTTAAAAGCTTTAACTAAAGCATCTTGCTTAGCATGTGTGAGGCCCTGGGTTCCATCTCTAGTATCACTAAAATAAAAAATAAAAAGTTTTATCTTTTTTTTTTTTAAAGAGAGAGAGAGAGAGAGAGAGGGAGAATTTTTAATATTTATTTCTTAGTTTTCGGCGGACACAACATCTTTGTTTTGTATGTGGTGCTGAGGATCGAACCCGGGCTGCACGCAGGCCAGGCGAGCGCGCTACCACTTGAGCCACATCCCCAGCCCAAAGTTTTATCTTAATCAAAAATAGAACATTATATTCATCTTGGTGACCTTTACCACTTTCTATGTCCCTTTTATTTCATCTTGGAATCCCTTACCTTCAGGGAGGACTTTTCATCTTATTATATTTAATTAAATACATACACATATGATATACACATATATAAAAGGATATCAGCCTTAAACTTCTCACCCAGTGATCCTCCTACAAATCTATACTGTTATCCTCCTACAAAATCTGTACTGTCCAATGAAAAAATACTAATGAGAAAACGACTCAGAATACAGCAAAGAAATAAAATGATAAAAATACTTTAAAAGGTAAAAGACACAGAGGATTAAGTGAAAAGCACATACACCTAATAGAAATTCTAGAAACTTAGAGCAGTGGGGAGAGGCAATGCTTAAGTATATTCCAAACTTGAAAAAAGGTAGGGGTAGGAATCCTTTGATAAAAAATATATATTGATAAGTAAAAACAAAACTGCATCTGTATACATTCCAATTGAAGTTCAGAACAGAAGAGTCAAGGAAAAAAATCATAAAAGGCACTGACAGGAATAATTGCACTAACAGCAGACTTCTCTCTCTTTTTTTTAATTAATTGTTCAAAACATTACATAGCTCTTGACATACCATATTTCATACATTTGATTCAAGTGGGTTATGAACTCCCATTTTCCCCCCATATACAGATTGCAGAATCACATCGGTTACACATCCACGTTTTTACATACTAGTGTCTGTTGTATTCTGCTGTCTTTCCTATCCTCTACTATACCCCCTCCCCCCCTCCCCTCCCATCTTCTCTCTCTACCCCATCTACTGTACTTCATTTCTCTCCCTTGTGTTTTTTTTCCCCTTTTCCCTTCAGCTCCTCTTATATGTAATTTTGTATAACGATGAGGGTCTCCTTCCATTTCCATGCAATTTCCCTTCTCTCTCCCTTTCCCTCCCACCTCTCGTCCCTGTTTAATGTTAATCTTCTCATGCTCTTCCTCCCTGCTCTGTTCTTAGTTGCTCTCCTTATATCAAAGATGACATTTGGCATTTGTTTTTTAGGGATTGGCTAGCTTCACTTAGCATAATCTGCTCTAGTGCCATCCATTTCCCTGCAAATTCCATGATTTTGTCATTTTTTAGTGCAGAGTAATACTCCATTGTGTATAAATGCCACATTTTTTTTTATCCATTCATCTATTAAAGGGCATCTAGGTTGGTTCCACAGTCTAGCTATTGTGAATTGTAACAGCAGACTTCTCTTTAGCAACAACAGACCCCAAAAAGCAAGGAAGCTAATAAACTTGAAGTGCTAAGGGAAAATAGCTGCCACCCTAGAGTTTTATGTCTGGCTAAACTACCACTTAAGAAATGTTTATATACATGCAAAAACTAAGAGTTTGCAATGTATAGGACAAGGAGAAGTATACAAGAAACAACATAAATAAGGCAAAATGTTAATGTTTGTTCATTTAGGTGGTAGAGCCTAAATGAGATACACAAAAAAATAAGAAGGTTATCAATATTGAAAGTATTCAACTAAGGAGCTATGTAAACAAATGTACAATGTTTTTGATGGTAATGATAAGCAAGATGGTATAATTCAATAGAAGATGGATGTTTTTCCATTCAAGACAGCCTAGTTCCCATCAAATGTTAGGCTTTAAAGACAAAAATGCAAGATAAAACCAGTGGCTTGCTTTGGTGAGTCTTCCAGAGAAAATTTCACTGAGAAGGGTGGCCAGTTACAAAAGTGCTGAATTATAGGCAAAAGAGATGAGTGTCTATGAAACATCAGAACATTAATTTTTAATCTAGGAAATAGTTACCAATGGAGAAACAAAATTTGAAAATGAAAAAAAAACAAGAAACTGTCTTAAACACACAGAAAAGTACAATAAGACAATGACAATAAGGATGGAGGGCAATAAAGCAACGTTGACAGATGGAGCAAAGAAGATATCCAAGATGGCAGTTTAACCATAGAGGAACTCAGTAGCCAGGAAATATATCTATCTTGTTTGATAGCATTGATGTTTGCTGGAATATTCTACTTAGATTACCGTACTAACCTCTTCACTTATGTTCTCATCTTCAACCTCAACTCTTAAATTCTATACTTTTATAAAAATACTATCATACCTTAACAGCTTTTCCTTGTTTATTATCCTATGCTGGATTCCTATACTGAAGGGGCTACCAACAGGCCCTTGGAGGTTGGGTTTTACAGGCATATTTGACCTAAAGAGTATTGTGTTTTATTTAGTTTTAAAACTTAATTTTTTTTTATTTATTTAAACAAGGTCTATGTTGTCCAGATTATTGCAAAATAACATTTATGTTCCTCAGCATGGTTTATAAAGCATTCCACCACCTGATTCCAACCTACATTTCTAGCTGTAAGACTCAAGTATCTCATAGCCATCTTGCTCTCCAGCCAATCCCTAAACACATATTCCTTAATTTCTTCACATCTTTGTATATTATAATCCTTAAAAAAAACCTACCCCTTCCTCCCCCCTTTTTGACCTGATAAACTCTTAATTTATAACTTTCTTTGTGAAATTATGACCATTTTTCATTTCATCTTTCCTCCTTGCTTCCCCCAACTCCATACCTCAAACCTCTGACAGAATCAATTGTTCCTACTGTGTTCACAATATCCACTAGTTTCTATGCCTTATATTATAATTTCTATCTTCCTAAGTAGTACTTAATCAATCTTATTTATCTTTGTATCCCCCACATATTTGCTACTGAATAGAATGAACTAAGTTTCATCCAGGAATTCTCAACTGGTTAATTATAATTGATAAGGATGTGTTATATAGCTAACATTCTCTGTAGCTTATCTGAATTTCACAGGGATCTTCATGTTGACTACATATTAAAACCTCCTGGAAGGCTGTGAAAAATACTTATTCCTACATTCCAGCCCTGGAGAATATTATTTAATTGGTCTGGTGTAAAGAATTTTAAAATTTCCACAAGTGATTCCAATGTGCACCCTTAATTGAGAAACACTGGTTAATAGAGAAAGTAGTAAAAATAAATCCCCACACCTGCTAACTTAAAACAGTAGTGAAGTTTTAACTACTGTCACAGTGAGAATGCACCCTCAACAGCATCCTTCCAGTGCCACCAGCTCTGTGGTCTCCTTCAAACTGAATTCTCAGAACACTTAATCCATCTTAGTGCTTCAAAAGAGGGAAAATTTTTAGCATGAAAAAGCAGGAAAGGTTATTTCCAAGTCTGTATGCCTATGTTTCAAGATTGTAAATAGAACAAAATTACTTATTTTGAGAACATGCCTAGAGATGGCTAACCTTTTTTGTGTTTATAAACATTTTAAATGGCTCCATTAGATATCAGTCCAACTTTGCATTTTCAGGAGCAAAATGAGGCAGGGTATTCCAAAGTCAGGTATTATTATTCTCAATAGAAGGGTACCAATAACCACACAATTGGCTAACCAATTAATATTTCAAGCATTTGTGCTGTACTAGAAGAGAACCATTAAATATTTATTTATGTACTCCCAAAAGAAAAGGACACAGCAGTTGTAAGAGTTTTCTCCAGCTACCAAAGAGCCTATACTTACACAACTTCCTATTGAGAAAAAAAAATTTTAAAAACAACACCAACACTATGAAATACACTTGAAGAACAAAGAAATTTAAATAAGGTATACACCAGGGCAGTGGAATTGCTGGATCCTGCAGTAACTCAATGTTTAACATTGTGAGGAATTTCCAAACTACTTCCCAAAGCAATTACATCATTTTACATCCCCCCGCCCCCCAGCTCCCAGATGAAGGTGCCAATTCTATGTTCTCTCCCACACTGTTATCTTTCTTTGACTATAAGCATCATACTGGATATGTATCTCATGTGATTTGTATTTACATTTTCCTGATGTTTAATGAAGGTCAGTTTCTTTTCAAAAAAAAAAAAAAAACAACAACAACAACAACAAAATAAAACAGAGTTCAGGTTTCAGATAATTCAACTATGACATATTA